GAGGGGGAGGAGGAGGAGGAGGGGGAGGAGGTGGGGGAGGAACCATAGGAAGAAGAAGGATCACCAGACGAAGACAAAGACGAATAAGACCAAGAAGACGAAGAAGAAGCAGAGGAAGAGGATGAGGATGAGGAGGAGGAGGAGGAGGAGGAGGAGGAGGAGGAGGAGGAGGAGGAGGAGGAGAGGAGGATAGGGGGGAGGGGGGGGGGGATGAGGGGGAGACGGAGAGGGAGGGGGAGGGGGAGGGGGAGAGGGGGGGACGATGAGAGGAGGGGGAGAGAGATGACCGAATGATGATGATGATTAGGAGGAGGAGTAGGAGGAGGGTGAGGACGGGGTGGAGCAGGAGGATGATGATGATGATGATATGATGATGATGATGATGATGATGAGGATGATGATGATGATGATGAATGATGTGATGATGATGATGATGATGGATGATGATTGATGATGATGATGATGATTGATGATGATGATGAGAATGATATGATGATTGGATGATGATGATGATGATGATGAGTGGGGTGGTGTGGTGGTGATGAAAATGAATGAGGATGAGATTGTTAATATGATATGATGATGATGAGGAGGAGGAGGAGGAGGAGGAGGAGGAGAAGGAGAAGGAAGGGGAGATGGAGGAGGAGGAGGAGGAGGAGGAGGGGGAGGAGTTGGAGGAGGAGGCGGAGGCGGAGGAGGGGGAGGAGGAGGAGGAGGAGGAGGGGGATGGGGACGGCTTGCTGGCCTCTCGCGCCGGCGCGGCCCGCTTCGCCCCTGCATCCGCGGGAGGCTGCGCAGTTCATCGCCTCCATCCGCGGCGGGGAGCGTGGCGCCTCTCTGGCGAGCGGACGGGCAGAGGAGGTCGCGCTTGCTCGCCAGCGCGGCTTGGGGTTGGTCCTCGCACGAGCGGCGAACACAGCCATAACCACAGACGGTCTTTAATGGTGCTTTCCCCCCTAAGCTCCCAGCTGCCAGTTCAACTTGTCCTTCCCCTCCCCGTCCCTCCCATCAGCATCAGCATCATCATCACCATCATCAGCATCATCACCATCATCAGCATCAGCATTATCAGCATCGTCATCATTATCACAGCCATTACCATTATCATTCCCATACTGAGAATCATAGTCACCATCATCATCATCATCATCATCATCATCAAGGCCGCCGCGCGCTCAGGCCTTTGCAGGAACAGCGGCCTCCAGCCACGCCTTTCCCTCCACACGCGGAGGCGGAGGGCTCTGCCATGGCGGCGTCCACGCGGGGCTGAAGCGCTGGGTTGTGCTCCAGATCGATGCCGCGCCCGACGTGCTGTGGCGCCCCCCCGGCTGGGGAGAGGCGCTCGCGCGCCCAAGCGCACCGGCAACGCGTACGGCTTCGACACGTCCGTCACGGCGCTGCACTGGGTCTCCCACCCGGCCTGGAGATCCCGAGCGAGCTCAACATCAACCAGCCGCTGCGGACGCGCAAGCCCGAGGACTTTACCAACGAGGAGTACGCCGACAGGATCGTGGAGGCGCACGTGGACAGCACGAGCAACGGCCACGACGGCAACCATTCTCAGTCAGTACTACGTGAAGGTGGTTCGGGCGAAGGTGCTGATCCTCACTCACGTTTGGTGGACGAGGAGTCGGGTAATCGGCATGCTCATCACGTAGATGCGGATACCGAGGGTGAAGAGGACGCCAGTCCACTACATGAAGGGGCGCAGGATCATCGACCTGGTGACGACCACCACATCCGCCCCAACGTCGTCTTCGACGCCTTCGACCAGGCCCTCGCCGCCGACACGACCGATCTAACCCGCACCACCGCCACCGAGGAGATCTGCTCGGCCGTGGAGCACGCGTACGACGACAGCAACGGCAACCATCATCAGTCAGTACTACGTGAAGAAGGTGGCTCGGGAGGTGGTGCTGATCCTCACTCAAGTTTGGTGGACGAGGAGATTGATAATCGGGATGCTGATCACGAAGATGCGGACACCGAGGGTGAAGAGGACGACACTCAACTACATGAAGGGGCGCAGGATAATCGACATGGCGACGATCCCAACTCTAGCCTGGTGGACGAGGAATCTGGTGATTGGACGTACGCCGAGGAGCGGACTCGCCACCACATCATTCCCAACGTCGTCCTCGACGCCTTCGACCAGGCCCTCGCCGCCGACATGTACGATCTAACCCGCACCACCCAGGAGATCATCTGCTCGGCCGTGGAGCACGCGTACGACGACACCAACACACATACTCTCTGGGATCAGTCGCTCTTGATGGCGATGAACGACATGGCTAAAGAGCACATTCGGATGCTGGACTGCTCTCGCTCGATTTCGAGGGCTCCAGGCCCGTCGCACGGCCAGCTGACTCGGTCCACGACCACGGAGGACAACAGAGCCGCCTCAAACGAGGGATGTGAGCCCCTTGCATTTTTGCGCGACGCCGAACTCATTCAGATTATGGCATGCTGTAATAGGCACTTGGTTATCGGTGCTAGCGCTCTCGAGCTCAGGCTTTCCTCCGCCCCTCACGATCCTATCCCATAGCACGTCGGGCATCGCTGGCTCTCTGCGCCAGCACCCCGTTGCGCTCAGCCCCCGCGTGGGCACTCAGGAGAGAAAACAGCTCTCTGCGGCGGACCATCTTCTCCGAACTCATGCCGAAGGCTCTTTTTTTGTTGGTCCTGATGCCGGGGAAAAAATCATCATCATCATCATCATCATCATCACCACCACCATCACCATCAGCACCATCATCAGCACCATCGCCAACGTCAACAGCAGCACCCTTACCATCCTCGTCATCATCCGCATCAGCATCCGCAGCATCATCATCATCACCATCAACATCGTCGCCATCGTCAGCCGCATACACATCATCCTCACCATCATCATCATCATCATCATCATCATCATCATCGGCATCATTACCATCAGCATGAGCATTATCATTGTCATCATCATCAGCGGCATCGTCGGCATCACCATCATCTGCCTCAGCATTAGCAACACAAGCAACATCCTCTGCGTCATCCTCATCAGCATCACCATGATCATCGTCGCCATCATCATCACCATCATCAACACCGTCATCAGCATCGTCATCGGCATCGTCATCACGATCATCATCATCAGCATCAGCATCGTCGTCATCAGCACCATCATCATCATCGTCATCGTCATCATCATCACCATCATCATCAACATCATCATCATCACCATCGTCATCATCATCATCGACATCGCCATCGTCATCGTCGTCGTTGTGGTCGTCATCGTCGTCATCATCGTCGCCACCATCGGTGTCATCACCATCACAATCAGGGATCGTCACTCCCCAGTCATCAGCGGTGGCCGCCGCGGGGGGATGATTCTTGTGAAGGCCTCACGGCTGGTGCCGCCGGCCCTGACGGGGGACGACAACCATGACGGCGGCGTCGGCCGCGACGACAAAGCTGACGTGTGGCGGAGTCCTCAGCGATGCTTCGTGGGGCCTCTTCGGAGCGCGCTCGTACGCCTCTGGGGGGCAGTTTGGGGACCTCTTGGGAGCATCTGGGGGGCCTCTTGGAGCCTATTGGGCGTCCCTTCAGGCTCCCTGGGGGCCTCTTGGGGGCCTCTTGGAGCTTTGTGGGTACGTTTTGGGAGCCTCGTGGGACCTGCTGGGAGCTTCTCGGGGCCGAGGGCTCGACATGTTCGTTCGGGCTCCCGTGTGGGCACCCTCTTGGAGCGAGCCGTTTTGGTGGCCTCTTGGGCCGTCTGGGAGGCTTCGAGGGCCGTCTCACGGCCTTCTTGGGTCGTGTTGGGGCCGTCTTGGAGACCTCTTGGGGGCCTCGTGTGCCGATGTTGGCTGCATCTTGGGCCGTCTTGGGGCGTCGGGGCGCCGAAAAGGCGTAAACGCCAGAACCTTTCAGCATCCCAAAGCAAGTCATCTCATGTTGCTTGTTGGGGCCCTCTTCCATTGAGGGCGCCTGGGGGCTCCTTGTGGGCCTGTCGGGTGCCTCGTGGGTGGCCTCTTAAGGCGGCCTCTCAGGAGCCGTCTTGAGACCCTCTTGGGAGCCTTCTGAAGGCCTTCTTGCGACCATCTTGGATGGCGTCGATCAACGAAAGTAGATTGCTCAATTCGCGCTGCCCTTCCAGAGCCCCTAAAATCACCTCTTGGTGTCATCTATAGGGCCTTCTTTGACACTCGGGGCCGTCTTGGAGCCGTCTTGGGACTCTCTTGGGCCCTCGTGGAGACATCGTGAGGTCTCGGAAGGCCATCGGAAGAGAAACGGCGAGAAGGTACTTAAGCACCGTTGATGCCCCACAGGTGTTGGAAGGATATGGGCTTTGGAGGCGTCCTGGGGAGCCCCCAAGGCCACTTGGACCCGTCTTGGAGCGGTCCTGCGACCTTTTGGATTATTTTGGAAGCCATGTTGATCGACCTCTCTCTATCTTGAACCGTCTCGGAGGCCATCTTGGGATACCCGGGGCCCTTGTGGCGCACCAGTGGGCAATCTTGGACGCTCTAATCGGTCGTCAGCCTCCCTGTCACAAGACACATGTACGTACATATATATAAATATATATATATATATATATGACCACCCTTCGGGTGATAAGGAGGTTCGGGGGGGAGGAACCAACGTCTCACTCGATCGGTCTCACTATCAATCTCACTATCGGTCTCGCTCGATCGATCTCACTCGATCGATATCACAATCGATCGCACTCGATCTATTTCATTCGATCGATCTCACAATCTATCTGACGATCGATCTCACTATCGATCTCACTTTCGATCTCACAGTCGATCTCACATTCGGTCTAACTATCGATCTCATCATCCATATCACAATCGATATCACAACCAACGCCATCATCATCATCATCAACAGCATCATCGTCATCAACGTCATCAACATCATCATCGTCAGCATCATCGGGACACCATCATCACCACCTCATCACCACCACCATCAACATCACCATCATCACCATCATCATCATGGGGACACCACCGTCGTCGCCATCATCATCATCATCATCATCAACACCATCATCGTGGGGACACCATCATCATAATCGGAACCCCACCATCATCATCCTCATCCCATCATCATGATCATGAACAAAATCAAAATCACCATCATCATCATCATCGGAACACCATCATCATCGTCGCCATCATCATTCCCATCATCATCACCATCATCGGGACACCATCATCATCAACAACATAAGCAGCATCATCACCATCATCGGGCCACCATCATCAACATCACCATCATCACGTCATCCTCATCATCAACATCATCAGTACCATAATCATCGGGACACCATCATCGTCATCATCATCATCATTATCCTCATCATTACCGGGACACCATCATTATCATCATCCTCATCATCAGCAGCATCACCCTCAATCTCCTCATCATCATCATCGGGACACCATCATCATCATCCTCATCATCATCCGATCATACCATCATCACCAACATCATCATGAACATCAACATCGTCATCATTTTCATCATCCGGGCACCATCATCATCAACATTATCAATGGGGCACCATCATCATCAGCACCATCACCATCATCACCATAATCATCGTCAACATCATCATCATCATCATCATCATCATCATCATCGGGACACAAGCGTCACGACCACCATCACTATCATCAGCATCATCATCATCGTCAACATCATCAACATCATGATCATCATCATGATCATCATCATCATCATCATCATCATCATCATCATCATCATCATCATCATCATCGGGACACCGACGGGACACCGGCGGGACACCGGCGGGACACCTCGCGCCACTGGCCCCCGAGCGGGACACTGGCGGGACACTGCGGGGCACCGGTTGCCGGAAGGGAGACTTCTGGTCCGGCCGCGCCTCAGGTACAGGAGACTTCCTTCTCGCCCGCCCACGCAACGTCGCTTCGCCCGCACGCACGGCACGCACGAACACGAAACCGAAACCGATTTCCTGATAGGGGGGCTCTCCGTTCCACTTCGATTACCCCCTCACCTCCGATACGTTTCGTGTCATCATGTGTTTTTTATTTGTTCATACGCATATATGTTTTATATAGAGACAGAGAGAGAGAGAGGGTTGAAGAAAGAGAGCGAGAGAGGGACAAGGACAACAATGTTTCCCCGCCCCCCTCGCCGCCCTTTCTCCTCGTCCCTCCCCATCCTCGTTCCCTCTCCGCCTTCTCCTCCCTTATCGTCCCCTCCCCCGTGTCCCATCCTCATCCTCCCCCTACTTCTCACTCCCCTCCTTGTTTCCTCCCCGCGTCCCTCGCGCGCAAGCGGAGGCGGAACGGGCGACAAGGGCATTCCCGCGGCCTACATCGATGCCCTCTCCGTGTTCACGGACAGTGCCCTTCGCTGCGCCGAATGTGCGCATTGCGTGCGCACCGTGCTGCATTTGTGTGTGAGTGTGTGTCTCTGCCACCCACCTGCGTCCTGCGGCCAAAAAGGCTTTTTGCCACCTGGGGTCCGGTGCTGTCACAACGTGTGCAATCGCAGGCGGTTTCCCTCCCCCGTCCCTGACCCCCTTTCCCGGACAACAAAGCGAATTGGTCGTTTGGATTAGAAGGAGAATTCGGATAAACACCCCCGGGGAAAGATTCGCACGTCCAATTGTATGTCTTTAAACTTGAGCCGAAAGAAGGAAGTGGCCCCCCGACAAATCCCACGAAGTCGGATATTCAAGGGGCTTGTGCAATTTCACCGACCCTTAAGAAAGTCATATGAAAAGAACGAGGAGGATGTCGATGACAATAAGGAGGATAGCGTCGATGACAAGACAAGGCAAGGTCAAAGCATGAGAACGTCAATGATAAGAATGAGGTGCAGGAGTGGGAGGAGAAGGAGGAAGAGGAGGAGGAGGAGGAGGAGGAGGAGGAGAAGGAGGACGACGACGTCAAGGCATTTTAGAAGAGGGTTGGGTTCTGGTCTGGGGTTTCTTGGGGGTGTCTTGGAGTTCTCTGGGCGCTTCTGCGGGGCGTCCTGGGGACTCTGAGGGGGAAATTCGGGCTTATGGATGCCATGGTTTGTGGGCGGGCTCCGGGACGTGTCGAACTTGTTTTTGTTGTTGTCTTGGGGGTTGGGGCCCTTCCTGGCCGTTTTGGTTGTTCCTTGAGTCGATTTGGATATTTTGGAGGGCGTCTTCGCGTTTCCTTTGGGTGATACTCTTGTGGGACACCTGGGGAGGAGAGAGGAGGGAATCAAGTCACCTGTTTTCGCTCGCCTTGACATGCCGGGTCCGCGGGTTCGAAGGGCTTGCTGCGGGGTTCATGAGGTCTCGTCGGACAGAATCAATATTTGCCTCATCCTCGTCTACCCTGTGAAATGTGATGGGGGCTATGGGGGCGTTCTCGGGCCGTCTCCGGAAGTTTTGGGCCGACGAAATAGGAGAGGGAAGTACGAGGACACGAACAGGAAAAGCCAGAAGAGGAGACGGAGGAGAAGAAAAACATATAAACGATGATGGTCTGACGAGGAGGACGTGTCGAATGAAGATGATGGTGGATATAAGAGGGTGGAGTGGAAAAGGGACAATGGGTTTGAAGGGGATGAACCAGTGAGAGAAGATTCGCTTGTTGTGGCCTCTGGGGACGCCTTGGGGCCCTCTTGGAGGTCTTCTGGGGCTCCCTCGGGGCGCCTCGTGGGCCTCCGGGCTCCAGGGTGAAGTCGGGCACGCCCCTCTACAGGAGGAATCTCCAAAAGTGGTCAAGACATAGTCAGGGGACGATTTTCCTAGTATGCTTGACCACGTTGGGGTATTTTTCGAGTATGTGTTTTATTTGTTCGCCCAAAATCCCCCTGTTGGGGGGCATGCCCGACCTAACTCTAGGGGGCTCTTTGCACCTCTGTGCCATGACCGCGACACAGAGCTGCGCATCCTGGGCTACTTGTCCCACGGTGTCCCACGTGCGCCAAGCTCTGATTCCAATCCGATCTCCGCCCGCCTCTTACTGCCGTCGTACACGTAGCAGGTGGTCGGAGGTCCGCACAGACCGCACATGCACCTCGTGTTGTTTTGAATCCCCCTGGCGGCGCGGCCCGGCGCCGATCAAAGAAACCAGCGCGGACCTTGACAAGTTTCTTTTCTTGTCGTCACTGGTGCGTCTCAGCGCTCCACCGCGCTCTGGCCCTGCGCGCCTGGCTGCCGATGCCCCCCCAAGCTGCTCATAGTCGATCTCTTCGACGTCTGAGCGTCTGAGCGTCCGCGCTCCCAGAGCAGGACGTGTGTCCTGCCAAGGCTGTGCGAGGGCGTCGGAGGGAAGGCGATAGAGAGAGAGAGAGAGAGCGAGAGGAGGTCGGGCAGGCAATGCAGGGTGGCGATGAAGGAATGCCGGGGATCGGCGGCGAGCGAGGGGTGGGAAATGAGAAGGAGGAGGAGGAGGGGGAGGAGGCCTTCTCAGAAGGCGGCGGGACTTCTCGGAAACCCTGGCATCTTCTCAGAAGTTTTGGCTGTCTTCGGGGAAGGCTAAGCCATCTTCTCAGCAGGCTGGGGGACCCCCGGGCCTGCTGAGAAGGCCTTCGCCTTGTCACTTCCCCCCCTCGCTCGCCGCCGAAAGCGGTGAGACGCAACCGCCCGGCTCCACGCCTGCTCGTGGGCGTCGTCGGCCGTCCGACTTTCACCCAGCGGCCCAATGATGGGGGAGGAGGAGGGCAAGGCTGATGTTGGGAGGAGGAGGAGGAGGAGGAGGAGGAGGAACGTTTAGGAACAATTTGTTTAACCAGAGGCCCAGTCGGACCACGCACCCCAGACGGGGGAACAAACACCACGCAGGCACCGAAGCCCCAGCGTTGCCTTCGCTCCCGCCGCCCTAGCTGCGCGGCCCTCCTGGGGAGTGGTGCAGGGTCGGGCTCGGTTCGAGAGTTTCGGCAGCAGTCTCCGTCGCCTGCTCGCAGTTTGCGGCAGCGGCGAGAAGGGCTTCCTGGACACGGAGGTGCCTCGGGGCGGGCCTTCCCGACGAGGATGGCAAGCCCCTCCGAATCCGACTGGGATCGATTCGCACTTCGACACGGCAGGCGAAGAAAGCGCGCATCGCCCCCCGTTCGCGATCGAGGTATCGAAACCACGCTTGGCACAACATGTTATGCGACAAACACGGACGGCATGCAGGACAGGAGAGGGGTGGAGGTCCAGGGCTCCTCTCCCGCGCTTCTGCAGCACACCCGCGGCCACAGGCACGGGAGACCCGCCCCGCGCCTCGACCGTCGTCCCTCCTCCGACGGCGGAGGGCCTGCACATGAACATACGTACGGTGGCCGCCAAGCAGAGGAGCTGGCCCTGGCCGACCAGGCACAGGCAGCTGGCGCAGACCCACCGCTCAGATCCACGCTGCTGCAGCTCGTGCGACGAGGCTGGCGCAGGCAGCGGCGGCAGCAGAGCGAGGGGGCCGACGCGGCCCCAGGCATCGAGTTCCACGCAGCTGGTCAGCCTCAGCCGCGAGCATCAGGGCCCTGCAGGCCCTTCTGCGGACCATGCGAGCCGCAGTGTCGACCACGTGGGTGCGCGGCTCAGTCCTCACGAGCCCCAGGCGCCAGCACGCCACAGCCGTCGCGCTCGCGAGCACATCGGCACACGCGCGGGGGAGACTGCGGTCCAAGTGCGCCTCGTCAGACCCTCCGCCATTTTCGCGGATGCTGCCGCCTGCGCTTTGCTGCATCTTCTCCGTTCCATCCTTTTCCTCTCTCACACGTCCCGAGATGTGAGTTCCCATTTCTCTCTTCTCGCATCTAGAGTATGTTTGTGAGTGTGAGTGAGTGTGTGTGTGTGTGTGTGCGTGCGGAGACCGATTTGGGCAAACCTTGTCTGCGGCGTCGTGGCCAGACCCGTCCGTTTGCGCAAAGATGTCGCAGTCCGTAGCCATTTTGCCTCAAGCAGTGAGGCGTCAGAATTTGTCTTGCGGGTGAGAGTTCATCCGCTCCCTCGTGCCCCACCCCCCACCGGATCATCAATGGCGAACCTCTTCGCGAGCTGCGTTGGCCTGTGCCTCCTGGGCCGCGCTTCGGGGCAGGGCCTCTTCTCGGACTGCCCTTCGGCCATGAACACCGGCTCGGTCGGCAGCTGCAAGATTTTCGGGTGCTCCGCGAGCCGCGGGCCGACCCACTGCACGCTCGGCAGCTGCTACTGCAACGACGGCTACTGCAGGTACCCGGCCAGCACCACTCACGTCCAGTCGCGGTACTGCGTGGCCCGCGTGCCCGACGCCACGTGCCACCTCACCCGCGTGTGCTACAGCGCAGGCCTCACGACGTCGTTCTGCGAGAAGGGCCTGTGCATGTGCAAGTGGGGCTACGCTGTCGAGACCGATGACGACGGCAAGCACTCGTGCGTCCCGGCCACGGCCGCGCTCGCCGAGGCCATCGCCCGCAATGCCACCACGGAGGAGATCCAGCTGCTGATGGAGCACCAGGATCAGGAGGGGAAAAACACACAGACACAATTCATCGTCGATTCCCCAGAAAATATGGGAAGCTTTGGAAAGTAGGGGGGGAGACGAAAACCCAGAAAATATGTGAAAGTACTTGGAGTGGAGTCCGGCTACTTGTGTCTATTTATCATATATGTGTCCCAGGGCCCCATTCACAGGAGCACTCCGAGCGCATGGCCGCCCAGAACGTCGCAGTCGCGGCCTCGTGGCTCTGCGGGGCAGCCGCGCTCCTCTGCGCTGCCGGTGCCTGGGCGCTGCGCCGCCGGGCATCGAGGGTGGCGGCCCAGCCGGCCGGCTACCGGGTGCTCGTCGACTGAGGAGCGCGGCCTCGGGGGGGCCACGGGACAACGCGAGCAGGTCCGTGGCGTCGTGGCCCTGGGCAGAACCGGGCACGAGCGAGTGGCGGCTGGCAGGGCATGCACCCCAGCGCCAGATGCTGATCGATTGCGCGATACATGCGCGGTTACGCAGGACCCGTGTTGGGCTGCCTGGCACGCCGTAGAGCTCTTTCATTCAGTAGTTACAGTCCAGCCCGGTAGCGGACATCGAATTTTCACCAGTTGCAATCCGCCACACATGAAAAAATAGTTCGCAGTGATTCGCAGCACGCTTACGTGAGGCCTCTCTGACGGTTCTGTTCGAACATTTCTTTTTTCAGAACCATGAGGCGCCGAACTTGCATAATGCGTGAAGGCTTGGATTGGCTCTGCTGTGTGGTTGGAGTGGAGTTGCAACTGGCGACTGCTGGTGCACGGGCACAGTGCGACGCTCCGCGTTGACACAGCAACGCAGAGCAGCAGCGCGGGCAGCGGTCTGTCGCAGTCCACAGTCTCGGACAGATTGTCCCCAGGCGCGTTCTCATACAGTTACCCTGGCCTCGAAGCCTCTGGATGCAGGGGGACATGCAGGAATCTATGCCTCCCAGGTGGGGTCCGAGTAGATGGGGTCGGATGATCGCGCCGCATCGCCGATGCATCGCCGACGCGGCTCGACGTGGAGCCCGATTTGCTTCACGCCGACGTCGCCAATGCACCGCCGACGGCGACGATGCATCGTTGGTGCATCGCTGATGCATCGCCGATGCATCACGGATGCATTGCCGATGTATCGGCAATGCGGCGCGATCCTCCGTTCCCATGTGCTCCGACCCCATCCAGGAGGTCGCTAAGGAAAGGGCAGTTGACACCACATGGACGCAGAATGTCTGAGTGAGGGTGCAGGTTGATGGGGGGAGAGGCTGCAAGCTGCATCACGGGGGCACGGGCAACAGCCGCAGGGGCCTCCAAGAGAGGAGGAGCGGGAGCAGGTGGAGCTGGAGGGGCGGAGGGGGGCAGACAGCAGGAAGCGTGGCAGCGGGAACACGAGGCTTACGCTGGAGGGTCACGCGCGAGACCGCCACCGTTGAGTCGGGCATGTCCCTCTGCAGGAGGACTGTTCTAAAACAGTCAAAACAATCATCGTTGGACGACGGGAGCGGGCGGAGCTGGGGGGGGGATGCGGGAGACAGCAGGAGGCGTGGCAGCAGGAACACGAGGCTTAAGCAGGATGGAGGACCAAGCATGACACTTCGGTGGCAAATCATGGGAGCCCGGTATACCCTCTTAATTCCGTCTCCAGCGTCGATTAGCGTGGACTGGCGTTTGGGAGTCGATGGGATAGCGCCGATTTAGGGTCGTTCAGCGTTGATTCGCGTCGACTGGCGTCGATTTAGCGTTGACTAGCATCGATTAATGTCGATTCGCAAGAGCCGACAAGATGGTATGGGAGGCCCCCATGAGTTGCCACGAATGATACTGCTACCGCTACATTTGCGCCACCGCTGGATTCGCTTCTAAATTATGTTCAGAACGCACCTGGGGAGAGGTCCTGGGAGTAGAGGTATCGGCACTTTTGTTGGCATCCCCAAATGGGGGGCTAGCAGGAGCAGGAGGCTGACAGCAGCAGCGGGGACAGCAGGACCAGGGGGCTGACGAAGAAGGATCAGGCAGGATCGGGGGAGGGGGCCGCCTCTGCGCGCGCACCTGGCGGTCTGTCTCGCGCCGAGGACCGGGCGCCGCACAAGAGTATCGGCGAGGTCGCGCCCGTCCTGAAGGACGCCTGCGACTCCCGTCCTGCTCCTCCTCCCCCTCCTCCTCCTCCTAAAACTCCCACGAGCTCTAATGCGAGGTGCTGCCACTTCCCACGACGGGCCACAAGTTCGCTCACTTCGCAATTCAGAGGTGCTCTACAGATGTCGCATCCTCCCTGCTCGGGGGGAATTGGCGGTGCGCAGGATTCGGCGGCTTCAAGCCATGCTCATCCACCGCCACGCCCACAGCCAAACCATCGCGGCGATCTTCGGTCATTTACAGAAGGAACGACCGACGCTGTTGCCAGACGGGCAGCTCCGCACCGACTCGAATCCTTGGGCAAAAGAGTTTCATCGCAGCCTGTGCCTCTACGAGGGCGCAAGTGGGACCGAGAGCTTTTTCGAGGTGTGGGAAGCTGCGGGGTCTTCATGGAGGGCCCTATTTGACCCCAACTCCGACCCGCTCCACGAGTTTACTCGCATCGACTCCTCGATCTTGAGAGCAGTTGCGTTCACATTTCATGATACATGGTGCATATTCTTTCCATCAGCACATAGTCTAGAAGCCACATGCGAAAACGTCTACACATGTATGATCACGGATCCCGAGGGGAACCCATGTGGCCTCCAGTTGGACACCTGCAGGGCTCTCATGGGGCACCACAAATATGAACACAACATGCTATATCTATATCTATATATATGTATATGTCTGAACAAGGTGCTGTTCAGACTCTGGGGCGCCCCCAGACTCTGGGGGGTGGGGGTTGCTCCAACTTCGTCTCTCGTTGTCCGACTGTGTCTCCTCGCTCCTACCCCCTGCCCCCTTCTCCTGGTCCTCCTTCCTGTTTCTTGTCCTACTCTCTGTTTCCCTGCTTTTCCCAGTCCTTTTCTTCCTCTTCCTCCTCTTCCCCCTCCTCCTCCTCCTCAACCTCCTCCTCCTCCTCCTCCTCCTCCTCCTCGCCCCCAGTGCGCCCAGGAGGCTTCCAAGATGGCCCCACGACGGCCCAGGAGGCCCCAAATACGGCCCCAAGAGGCCTCTAAGACGCCCAAGATGGCCTCCAAGACGGCCCTGAAGCGCCTCAAGAGGACCACACATCGATTCAGAGAGGCCCCCAAGACGGCTTCCGACGGCGTCAGACCCGTCAGACGGGCCAGGAACGCTTTAAGACGGCCAAGGAGAGGCCCCCAAGACGCCCCCAAGAGGCCTCAGGAGGCCCCCAAGAGGCTTCCAAGAGGCCCCCGGGAAGCCCCCAGGAGGCCCCACACGAGTGCCCCAAGAGACTCCCAAGAGGCCTCCTCCTCCTCCTCCTCCTCCTCCTCCTCCTCCTCCTCCTCCTCTCCTCCTCTGATCCTCCCCCTCAGCCTCCCCCAAGTGTTCCCCGAAGAGTTTCCGGAGCGGCTGGGGGAATACATAATCAGATAGCTTGGCCAAGCTGGGGCCCAACGTTTGGCCACATAGGCGCTTCTCAAAAAGGCTGGGGGCGGCGGTGATTCGCCGTAGGCGTCTTGGATCCGCCGCCCCCTGTGCTTGCCACAGGGGTGGACGGCGTTCCAGACATGTTGCTGCTCTTGTTATTTTGGAACACTTCCCAGTGGCCTTCGGCCCAGACCGCCTGCCCCTCGGAAGGATCAGAAGGTATGACCCGCATCGCCACCAAGACGGCCTTAATTGCCCAAGATAGTCACCAAGATGCCTGCAAGGCGGCTAGGATTGCCCCAAGAGAGCCCAAGACGGCCCCAATGTGTCTCCAACACGGCCCAAGATGTACCCGAGGCGTTCCAAGATGGCCCAGGACGGCCCCAAAGGCCCCCAAGAGGCTTCCAATGCAGTCCAAGAAGCCTCCAAGGGGACCTGCAGGAAGGCCCGAAGAGGCAAAGACAGCTGATGTCCCGTGGGATCTTGACGCATTTTGACGTTTTCGGCCTGCCGACGGCCCAATGCCGCCCAAGAGGCCCCCAAGATGGCCCCAAGAGCGCCCCAGAGGCCTCCAATACGGCCCCATGACGGCCTCCAGACGGTCCAAGAGGCCCCCAGGGCGCCTCCAAGACGGCCCACGAGAACTCCAAGGCGCCCACGATGGCCTTCAAGACGGCTCCAAAACGCCCAAGATGGCAACGATATGATTCGACATAGCCCCAGGATGGCCCAAGACAGCCCCAGAGGGGCCCACGGGGATCCAAGGGGCTTCCTAGACAGTCTAGGAAGTCTTCAAGAGGACCTCCAGGAGAGCCCGAAATGCCCAAATGGTTGTGTTCCCTTCAATTGTTGAATAATTGTGGCGCGTTTTCTTTTTCGGCTGTCCGACGTCCCAAGATGTCCACAAGATGGTCCCAAGACGGCCCAAGCTGACTTCAAGATGACCCCAAAAGGGCCCCAAAGGGCGAGGAAAGAGTCCAAGAGGAAGAGCAAGAGGAAAGGAGGGAAACAGAGGCCCGAAGCAGCTCCGAGAAGCCTGCAGCTCAGCGCGGGCTCGTCTGCGGACGCCCTTGCCCCCCCCGGAAAAACATACCACCCCGAGGCCCGATGCTTTTTTGTGGGGCCGCCCTCTCAAGGCCCAACGGCCAGCTTTTGGATCGAGGAGGAGGAGGGGCGGGACGACGAGGAGGTGATCAAGAGGAACCAGAGGAGCAGGAGAAGCAGGAGGACGAGGATGTTGAGCAAGAGGTCAAGGACGGAATGAAAGGCCCGAAGCGGCTCCGAGAATAGACCGCGCTGAGCTGCAGGGTTTTCGGAGCCGCTGAAGGCCTCTCATTTCGTCATTGTTCCCCTGCTCAACATCATCGCCCTCCTGCTCCTCCTCCTCCTCCTCCTCCTCCTCCTCCTCCTCCTCCTCCTTGTTATTCGTCTTGATCAACGTCCTCGTCCTCCTGCTCCGCTTCTTTCTCGACCCAAGAGCCGGCCGTGGGGCCTTGAAAGGGCGGGCCGAAAAAAAGTCACCGGGGGCCTCGGGCAGATTTTTTGTTTGTGGGGGGCAGAGGCGCCCGCAGACGAACCCGCGCTTAGCTGCAGGCTTCTCGGAGCCGCTGCGGCAAAAAAAAGGCTGCCCTGCAGGCTGTCTCGGAGCCGCTGCGGCCAAAAGCAGGACACTTTGTCGGTTTAACTGTTGGGTCGCTTTGTCGGCTGATTTCGGGCACGCCGTCGTCGTCGTGGTCGTCGTTGTCGTCGTCGTCGTCGTGGTCGTCGTCGTCGTCGTTGTCGTCGTCGCCACCATCGTCGTCGTCGTCGTCGTGGTTGTCTTCGTCGTCATCGTCGTCGTCGTTGTCGTTGTCGTCGCCGTCCATAAGATGTCCCCAAGAGGGCCCTAGAGGGCCCCAAGTGGGCCCCAGGAGGGCTCCAAGAGGGCCCCAAGAAGGCCTCAGGAGTTATGTATCAACCCAGCGGCCGCTGGTACATAACTCCTGGGGCCCTCTTGGGGCCCTCTGAGGGCCCTCTCGGAGCCCTCTTGGGCCCCTGGTTGGCCCATGAGATGGTTTCAAGAGGGCCCCAAGAGGGCCCCAAGAGGGCTCTAAAAGGGCTCCAAGAAGGCCCCGGGAATTATGTACCAACCCAGCGGCCGCTGGTACATAACTCCTGGGGCCCTCGTGGGGCCCTCTGAGGGCCCTCTCGGAGCCCTCTCGGGCCCCTGGCTGACCCTAAGATAGCCCCAAGAGGGCTCCAAGAGGGTTCCAAGAGGGCCCCAGGAATTATGTACTAACCCAGCGGCCGCTGGTACATAACTCCTGGGGCCCTCCTCCTCCTCCTCCTCCTCGGCGACGACGACGAGGAGGTGTAAACGCACCCTTACACAGTCCCTGCAGGACCAGGCAGCGACACTTGGACCAAATTTCCTGGCCCCTGTTTTGACCCCAGAGCTCTCGACCCCGTCCAGGAGTTTCCTGCCCAACCCGGAGCTTTCGGCCCAATCCCGGAGTTCTCGACCCGCAGACGATGGCGACGACAACGACGACGACGCCTGGACCTGAGGTGGTAAGTTTCGTTTCTGCTTTTCCCCTGGGTTTTGGAGCCCTCGGGGCCCTGGGTGGCCCCAAAACAGATCCGAAGCCTCAAGTTTTTCCGGCCGACGACCGGCGACGACGACAACGACGACGGGCACGAGTTATTTGGCGCCCCCCCTTGGGAGCATCGGGTAACTGGGGGATGCGCTCCACACACCCCAGTTACCTGGTGTCCCCCGGGGGACATCGGGTAACTCGACCTTGCAGGGGGGGTGTTAGGCACGGGTTACCCGGTTGCGAGGGGGCGGCATCGGGTAATTCGACCTTGCGCGGGGCATGAGTTACCCGGTGTTCCCCGGGGGACATCGGGTAGGCGGGGGGTGCGTTCCACACCGCCCACTTACCCGGTGTCTCCCGAGGGGCGTCGGGTAAGTCGACCTTGCAAGGGGCGCATTCGGCATTATTCGGTAAACCGGTGGACCCCGATGGGACATCCGAGTCACCCGGTGGTCCCCGTGGGACATCGGACCGTGGGACATCGGAGTTACCCGGTGTCCCCCCGGGGACATCGGGTAACTCGACCTTGCAGGGGGGGTCTGGACATTCGGAGTTGCCGGGTGTCCCCCGTGGGACATCGGAGTTACCTGGTGGTCCCCGTGGGACGTCGGCCCGTGGGACATTGGAGTTACCCGGTGTCCCCCGTGGGACATCGGAGTTACCCGGTGGTCCACGTGGGACATCGGCCCGTGGGACATCGGAGTTACCTGGTGTCCCCCGGGGGGCATCGGGTAACTCGACCTTGTAAGGGGGGGTATGGGCATGAGTTACCCGGTGCCCCCCCCGTGGGACATCAGAGTTACCCGGTGTCCCCCGTGGGACATCGGAGTTACCCGGTGTCCCCCGTGGGACATCGGCCCGTGGGACATCGGAGTTACCCGGTGTCCCCCGTGGGACATCGGAGTTACCCGGTGGTTCCCGTGGGACATCGGAGTTACCCTGTGGTCCCCGTGGGACATCGGCCCGTGGGACATCGGAGTTACCCGGTGTCCCCCGTGGGACATCAAAGGTACCAGGTGGTCTCCGTGGGACTCCAGCCTGGCCCCTCTTGCGGCTCGCTTAGGGCCCTCTTGGAACCTTGATTGGCCCAAAAGATGGCTCCAAGAGGGCCCCAAGAGAGCCCCAGGTGGGCCCCAGGAGGGCTCCAAGAGGGCCCCACGAAGGCCCCAGGAATTATGTACCAACCCAGCGGCCGTTGGTACATAACTCCTGGGGCCCTCGTGGGGCCCTCTGAGGGCCCTCTCTGAGCCCTCTCGGGCCCCTGGTTGGCCCTAAGAGGGCCCCAAGAGGGCCCCAGGAATTATGTACCAACCCAGCGGCCGTTGGTACATAACTCCTGGGGCCATCTTGGGGCCCTCTGAGTGCCCTCTTTAAACCTTCTTGGGCCCTGGGTTGGCCCCAAGAGGGTTCCAAGAAGGCCCCAGGCGTTATGTACCAACCCAGCGGCCGCTGGTACATAACTCCTGAGACCTCTTGGGGGTCCTCTTCGGGCCTTGGAGCTGCGGCGGCTCCTCCCCCCCCGTCCCCACCGTGTTGCCCGCGCTCGTGCCCGTGTCGGGCATGTGCGGACGTGGCAAAACACAAAAAACACGTTGTTTCTGCTGCCTCTGCCACTCGCGATGCATGTCAGACAAAGTCAAACTTTCCAGAGCAAGGAGTCGTGCCCAGGCAAGGCAGCTGGTATGGCTAAGCTAACTTAGCAGCCGAATGGTCACAAGTTTGCAGTTTCCGACGGAATTGACGACGAGAGTTTTATTGTTGCATGTCAGTTGTGCGGCAAGTATTCAGAGTGCACCGTTAAGAGCCTCCAGATGAGTTGTCTCCAGCGATAAACTCCAACTTTTCAGAAGGCGTCTACGCGTGCCTTGCGGAGGGGAGACACCCAAGGGCCTCTAAGACGAGCCCCATTGTCTTCAAGCCTCCTATCCCGATTGATGTGGTTGCCGCCCAGGCTTCCCAGGCGCTCGAGTCGCCCTGGGCGAAGTCGAACCCCTTCCGAAGCCGTGCGATGGTCCCCCTCCTCCTCCTCCTTCTCCTCCTCCTTCTCCTCCTCCTCGCTCCTTCCAGAAGGGGCGCAGACTGCAAGAACATCACCTTCCGAGGGCCCGCGCAGAGTTCTGACATCGGCGCGGACCCCCCCTCCCTGGCGCGAGGAGAGCGCCGCGGGGGCGGTTCCGGTGACGCCGAAACACGGGGGTCCAACGCCGATGCAAGACGCATGCGTGTGGAGCGTCGAGGGGTAATGCTTCTGCATCAGTCGGGCACGTCCCTCCGCAGAAGGAATATTCGAAAATAGTCAAACAATAGTCTGGGGACTACTGTCCTGTTGTTTGTTTGATGCTGTTGTTGCTGTTGTTTCTTTTGAGAGGGGCTACTTTTTATTTGTCGCCCAAACTCCGCGTGTACGGGGGACATGCCCGACCAAATTATGGCCACCTCCCGGGCCCTTTCCCTGGTCGTCCTCCTGCCGCCGCTGCTGCTCCTGTTCGTCGTCCAGCGCCTCCTGCTCCCGGATCCGGCGGCGAGCGCACGGGGGTGGCGCGAGGGGGGCGGGCCTTGGGAGAGTGCGAGAGGCCTCCAAGGAGGGCCCTGCCTTATTCGAGGCCCCTCTTCCTCTTGCTGCTGCTGCTGCTGCTGCTGCTGCTGCTGCTGCTGCTGCTCAGGGCGAACGAATCCCAAGGAGGCAGCCCTTCCCTGCCCTGCCGCGGTGGGCGTGGCAGGCATTGTAAGTGGGCACCACCATTAACACGGGGGGCTTCCCCTGGAAGCGAGGGAGAACGCGGAGCGGGGACGACACGGGAGGACAAGGCGAGGAGGAGGAGGAGGAGGGAGGAGGGAGGGAAAGGGGCACGACGAGGAGGGGGGAGGGGGGGAGGACCTGGCAATCTAATGAAACCCCTAGCGCCCCCTACCGATAGCCGGGAAAGCTCGACTCCTGGGGAGCGTCGTGGCCCCGATCCTAAAATCTTCCTCCTCCTCTTTCTCCTCCTCCTGGCCGCGCCACCCCTTTGTGACTGCTGAGCATAGGCGCGGCCGCCATCCATCCCTGCGGGCGACGCCGAAGGACAAATTGTTCGTCTGCACAGACACTTGGCGCGCAGGTTGCCCGCGTAAGTTGTCGCGCGGCGCACCTTCCCTCGGTTTCCAGGGTGGCGTAGGCTGCGGTGTAAGGTCGTTGTGACATCTCGTGCGGGACCCCGCCTCGAGTTCCCTTCATCAAACATTTGAGAAGACACATGTGCTATATAATACAACGCCAATCAATTGAACACCCTTGGCTTTTTTTCTTATGTGGGCTTCATGTTGGTTTTGACGTGTGTTTTGACGTGCGTATCCGCATCCTTGGTTCCCTTTCGGGTGTTTATTTGCATGTGGTCGCAGCCGTGGGGTCGGGGGGTCGCGGGGCCTGCCCGCGAACGGGAGCCCCTTTATGCTGGCCGCGCCGTCGAGGCTGCACTCTGGATCTTCTGCTCGGGGTTCGGCGGGGCCGAGGCGGCGGCTGCTCGAGACCGAGAGCGCCCCAGCGAATGGCGCAGGAGCACCCTTCCGATTCAAAAAAATAGACACAGACACCCTCCAATGGATAATTCCTGGGCCTCGGGGTTGGTGGCGGTGTATAGATTACCACTGGGAGCCAGCGATTTTATGCACCGCCACCCTGTCTGAAGGTACACACAAAATTCGTCGGAGGGTGTCTGTGTATGCATTTTCGTGGCGTAAGCCTGGCTAGCAGCTCGACGAAGAGGCGTCCGACGAGCGCGCTGCCGAAGCAGCAGTGGAACCGCCCGATCCTCCTCCTCCTGCCTTGGCACTGCTCGGACGTGTGCCTTTTACCCTGGGCGAGGACCATCGAGGAGCATCCTGAAACAAAAACATTCGCAATGTCAAAACCTGCATGGGGAATTGAACGTCCGAGCGATGGCAAGTCTTTGGTTGGCCCCCATCTCCCCCATCCTCGTCCTCCGCGTCTGTCGCTTTGCAGCCGAGCATCTGCCCAAGAAGCCCCGCGAAAAGTTAGGCCGGCGTCTCTTATAACCAGCTTGCCGGAAAGTTGGCCCATTTTCTGCAGCATGTTCGCCCCTCCAGCGTCAACAACAGAAACGGGCCCAGGCTTGTGTTGAGGATCTTCGGGAAGCTTGCCCTTTTTTCTAAAATGATGGTTTTGTTTCATCATATGTTCGGCTGCACTCTTCTTCTCGTCCTCCCACTTGTGGTCTCAGGTCTCACCTGGTCCCGCCAGCCCTTCTGCGACGGGGAGCTGGGATTCCGCCTGGCTGCCAGATTCGCTTGGGATCGCAAGCTTGGAGGTGAGGGAGAGAAAGATGAGGGAACGATGAGGGGAAGAGCGTTGAAAAGCGGGCGGAATGTGGAGGGGGCTCGAGATGGAGTAGGGAGGAAGGCGCATGGGGGCGGTGAAGGGTGAATGGCAGGGAGTGCGACTGGCGGTTAGCACGCATGCGAAACGGCATTCGGTCGCCGTCGTTCGGGCGCGTATTGGTCGAGTAGCGTCGTGTCGTTGCTAGCGCTGCCTTTTCAGATCTTCCCGTCAGTCGACGAAGAAAAAAGGGTATCTACAGAACTTTTCGGCGCTCCGCGCGGGTTTCTTGGATCTGTGCTGGGCGCTCCTGCGGCGCCTCCGGCGCAACCCTTGGCGCGCTCCGCGCGCCAGGGAGGACATCCCAGCGCAGATCCAAGAAATCCGCACGGACCGTCACAAGCTTCTGTTGTTGTTTTTGTTGTTTCATCTTCCCGTCAGGAAGCCATGAAGCTAGGGAACTGGCCGGCCGGACCGTTGGACGAGACGTGTGCGTTGAGGCTCGGGTTTGCAGTGACGGTGGATGGCATGAGTGGTCGTCGAGTGTGTTGTTCAGCACGATTTGGTTGGTTTTCCCGCAGTCCTTTGCAAAGCTGAACGTGACACTGCGTGGATCCACGAGCAATGAACGAGTTGAGTGCATGCCTCCAGATAGGGCTCATGCAACAGCACCAGTTTAAATGTATCGTGCCGAGTTGCAGACCATCCCATCGTTTGCGTATTGCCTGGCTGTTCCCAGGAAGGTGGTCTTGCCTGTTTGTTGTCTGTGCCGTGCCATTTGTCCAACTGTTGCGTGCGCATGCACGACCTTTTTCTCAACCGTTCCTCGTTCATCGGCTCACCCTGCATCCACGCCATTGCAAACCAATACAAGGCACATCAGCACAAGGCAACATAGCGCATATCAACGCCGTGCGATGCAATGCATATCGTCCTTGTCCTATCCACTCCCTCCTCTCATTATGATTATGTTCTTTACCCGTCCTCTTCCCCCCTGGCCCATCTCACCACGAGGTACCATTCTCATCCTCCCCACTCTTCTCCTCCTAATTCCCGACCGTCCTGTGGTGTTGGGTCCTCGTTTTGAAGAGACAGCGCCCCGCGTCCCTCCTTTCCTCTCCTCTCCTCCTCCTCCTCCCCCTCCTCCTCCCCCTCCTCCCTCCTCCCATCCGTCTCGTCACCTTTTTGCGTCTCACCCACCCAGGACAGCGTCTCGTGGCCCCATAGGGAGCTCCACCAAAGGCTCCAGTGGCACAGGCCGCATGCGTCACCCCCACCCAGGACGGCGTTTCGTGGCCCGATAGGGAGCTCCACCGAAGGCTCCAGTGGCACAGGCCGCATGCGTCACCGCCACCCAGGACAGCGCTCCGTGGCCCCATAGGGAGCTCCACCGCAGACTCCAGTGGCACAGGCCGCATGCGTCACCGCCACCCAGGACAGCGCATCGTGGCCCCATAGGGAGCTCCACCGAAGACCCCAGCGGCACAGGCCGCATGCGTCACCGCCACCCAGGACAGCGCTGCGTGGCCCCGTGGGGAGCTCCACCGAAGGTTCCAGTGGCACCGTTCGCATGCGTCGCCCCCACCCAGGACAGCGCTTCGCGGTCCGATAGGGAGCTCCACCGAAGGCTCCAGTGGCACAGGCCGCATGCGTCACCGCCACCCAGGACAGCGCTTGCCTCACAGGGAGCTCCACCGAAGGCTCCAGTGGCACAGGCCGCATGCGTCACCGCCGCGTGGCCCCATAGGGAGCTCCACCGAATACTCCAGTTGCACAGTGCATGCGCCACCGCCACCCGGGACAGCGTTTCGTGGTCCCATACGGAGCCTCGCTGAAGGCTCCAATGGCACAGGTCGTATGCGTCCACGACACCCAGGACAGCGCTCCGTGGCCCCATAGGGAGCTCCACCGAAGGGTCCAGTGGCACAGGCCGCATGCGTCACCCCCCACCCAAAACAGCGCTTCGTGGCCCGATAGGGAGCTCCACCGAAGGCTCCAGTGGCACAGGCCGCATGCGTCACCGCCACCCAGGACAGCGCTTCTTGGCCCCATAGGGAGCTCCACCGAAGACTCAAGTGGCACAGGCCGCATGCGCCACCGCTTCCCAGGACAGCGTTTCGTGGCCCCGTAGGGCGCTCCACCGAAGGCTTCAGTGGCACAGGCCGCATTCGCCGCCCCCACCCAGGACAGCGCTTCGTGGCCCCACAGGGAGCTTCGCCGAAGGCCCCAGTGGCACCATTCGCATGCGTTTCACCCGCCCCAGTACAACGCTTCGTGGCCCCACAGGGAGCTTCGCCGAAGGTCCCAACCACCCATTTTGTCACACCCCTCATACAGTTCGTGGCCCCATAGGGAGTTCCACCGACGCGGTACTCACAACGCGGTATTCACAATGCGGAACCCACAACTGCGCATGGCCGGGTCTTCCGCCAAGATGATTATAGTGTTCATGGTCGTCCTCGTCAGTATCCCTCCCCTCAACCGCCGCCTCACATCCCGACTTTCGTTTCTCATCCTTCAGCTGGTCATTGTCGGCCCCTTCTGGGAATGGTTTCTCAATACCTGGCCGCCTTTCTTCGGTCTCCAGACTTGTAACAGGCTTGCGGATCTCCCCGAAAGCGCGAAACGAACGTTTGGGTATAATTCTTAACCATCCTGTAGTGTTGGGTCCTCGTTTTGAAGAGAGCGCCCCGCGCCACTCCACCTCCTCCCCTCCTCCCTCCTTCCTCCTCCTCCTCCTCACCCTCCTCCTTCCTCCCTGCGTTTCACCCACCCAGTACAGTGCTTCGTGGCCCCATAGGGAGCTCCACCGAAGGCCCCAGTGCCACCGCCCGCATGCGTCAGCCACACGGATTTCGGCCCACCCCTCACACGCTTCGTGGCCCCATGGGGAGCTCCACCGAATGCCCCAGTGGCGCCGTTCGCATGCGCTTCCCCCGCCCATTTTGGCACACCCCTCACGCGCTTCGCGGCCCCATAGGGAGCTCCACCGAAGGCCCCAATGCCACTCCGTAGCCATTTTGGCTCAAGACCCAATGCTTGGGGGGCTGCTAGCCTCCGTGCACAAACGGGATAGCTCTGTTCCCCGAGCTCGCGATCCACCCTTTCGTGGTGCCAGGTCCGCCCCTGGCAGCCACCTGCCTCCCTCGGCCCGACGGTGCGCAGTCTTCCTCCTCGGCCTTGTTGCCTGGGCCTTCCTGCTCTCATGGCGAAGTGCTGGCAGTGCGTGCGCTGTGGTGTCTATACCCCGCAGCACCTCTCCCTCTGCATCAGGGCGGGCTGCAAGGGCAAGCGCTCCGACCGCAACGTGCCTGCGACGAACGGCACCGAAGCCAAGCCACGTGGCAAGTGGGCAGTCGGTGGCGGAGGAGAAGGAGCCCCTTGGCACAAAGGTCCCAAAGGTGGCGGCAAGGGGCGTGGAGGCAAAGGGCTCGGACCTAACGGTGGAGGGCCCAATGCCAGCACCACGGTCACCCTTGGCCCCGACAAGATCGCCGCCTACGCCGCCATGGCTCTGGAGTCGCACGGACTCGTCAAGGATGTTCTCTCCCGCAGCAGCCGCGACAAGGTCGAGCTGGTACGCCGAAACGCAGCCGCTGGAGTCTTGGGCACTGAGGCGAGGAAACTCCCCTTGGCAGTCGACCAGGCCTCCCTCGCCGTCGCCGATGCTGCGGCCAAGCGAGAGCGGCTCTTGGAGAGCTCACGCAAGGTCTTGGGGGCGCTCGCGGGCGCGGAGAAGGCCCTCGCGGACCGCAAGGCGGAGCTCGAGGAGGCGAAGAAGCAGGCAGCCAAGCTCTACTCGGCCACCACTGTGGAGGAAACCATCCGCACGCTCAAGGAGAAGGTCGCCACCATCGACACCGAGGGCAAGTCTGGAGCGGACGTTGTGGACAGCCTCGCCAAGTTCTTGGGCGAGATGGCCACTTCGGCTGCAGCCACTGGACATCCTCCTGGGCCTGGACAACAGCGGGGCGGCCATGCCGCAAGCGAGGCTGGAGGAGCAGGTGCTGGCGCGGCCGGAGAGGCCGAGCAACAGGGCACCCGCATGGCACAGCCAGAAGGGGACGTTTTCGACAAGTTCATGGGCTGCGACGACCCTGGGGGGCTCCTCGGCAGCGCGACGGACGACAACGAGAGGAAGCGGCTCCAGGAAGCGCTCGACACCCTCAGAGCGGCCAAGCGGTCACGCACCGCAGGAGGGTAGCAGCGTGGCGATCGGCGGCAGTCGGTCGTCGACCCTGCCCCGCGGGGCCGACGAGCAAGGCAGGTGGTGGGTCGGGCTGACAGTCAACTGTAACGCCTGGTCTCGGTTCGCCAACCTGCTAGGCGCCACCGCGGTCAGGCACTGCGATTTCGTGGCCGTCCAGGAAACACGCCTGGATTCGCGGCGCACACACGATGCACAAGGTCAACTCCGCAGGCTCGGATGGGTCTCGGAGGCTGCACCAGCGATCAAAGCTGGGCCAGGCTCCCAGGGCACTGAGGCCTCGTGCAAATGGCGCCCCAGCATCTTGGGCTCGGGCCTTTCGACCTGCTCGGCAGGCCAGCTGTGCTCGTACCTGGGCGAGCCATCATTTCCCACTCCAACGGCGTCTGCAGGGGAGGCATCTCGTGGGTCAATATCTATTTTGAGGTCAATGTCGGCCTCAACAAGAGCAGCGCAGATACGCTGCACGCGGTGCTCAGGGCGCTCCAGGCTGCCAACAGGCCCTTCGTCGTCGGAGGGGACTTCAACATGGAGCCGTCGGTCTTGGCAGAGTCGGGCTGGCTGCGGGCTGCGCAGGCGGTGGTGGCAGCTCCTACTGAAGCCACATGCAGGCCAGCTGGCAGGATCATCGACTACTTCGTGGTCCCCAGGTGCTTGCGAGGGGCCAAGGCCAGCGTCGTGCGCGGGCTCGACCTCAGCCCGCACTACCCCGTCGCGCTCGAGCTGCTCGGGCCCAGCAGGCACCGGGACATCACGGTCATGCGCGCTGCGAAGCAGCTGCCGCTGGCCAAGCCGCTAGCGTGCTGCTCGCGGGACCACGCACCTGCCTGGGAGGAGGTGCGGGGGAGGACCGCCAACGCCAACGACGTGGATTGCACGTGGCGCATCTTCATCGGCCAGGCGGAGATCAACATGATCGACGCATGCGGGCTCCTCCATGAGCACGACAGGTACGCAGGCCGAGGGCAGCGACCCTGGCTTGCGAGCACTTCGGCTACGGCACCGTCGCCACCGAGACTGCCAGGGGTCAAGCGGGCATCGACGCGGTGCAGGGCGATCGCAGTCTGCCTCAGGGAAGCTGCGCAGATCGAGCGCCCGCTCACAAGGCTGGGAGCGCTCCGTGCCTTGCGCAAGTTGGTCAGCAGGCCCCCGTCCGAGCTCAGTGAGTTGCAGCGCTTTATTCACGTGATAGCCACAGGAGCCAGCAGCTACTCCCTCCCGCAGCTGGACGTTCTCAGTGCGGCATGCTTGAGCTGGTCGGAGAAGATGGTCAAGACTGACATGGACCAGGCC